AGGCAGGCAGGCAGGCAATAACCAATGTTTTTGTTTATCATGTACTTACTTAAAGCATAAGGTCTTTGTGGAGGAAAAAGGTGTCACTGCTAATGTATGTTTCTTCTGTTACAGAATATCACAGAAGTGGGTACACCCCCTCACATTTCATAAATATTTTAGTATATCTTTTCATGTGACAACACTGAAGAAATGACATTTGGCTACAATGCAAAGCAGTGAGTATACTTCTTGTATAACAGTGTAAATGTGCGGTTCCCTCAAAATAATGCAACACACAGCCATTAATGTCTAAACCACTGGCAACAAAAATGAGTACACCCCTAAGTGACAAAGTCCAAAATGAGCACAAAGTGTCGGTATTTTGTGCAGCCACTATTATTTTCCAGCACTTTATGCTCTTGGGCGTAGAGTTCACCAGAGCTTCACAGGTTGCCACTGGAGCCCTCTTCCACTCCTCCATGATGACATCACAGAGCTGGTGGATGTTAAATGTCTTGCATACCTCCACCTTACATTTCAGGATGCCCCACACATGCCCAATAGGGTTTAGCTCTGGAGACATGCTTGGCCAGCCCATCACCTTTACCCTCAGCTTCTTTAGCAAGGCAGTGATCGTTTTGGAGATGTGTTCGTGATGATCATGTTGGAATCCTGGAATGACAGCCCTGGAGACCAATTTGATGTACTGTAGTGTGTAACCTATGGTCTGAGCATTGACAGGCTAACCCCCCACCCCTTCGACCTCTGCAGCAATGCTGGCAGCACTCAAAAGTCTATTTTCAAAGCCAACCTCTGGATATGACACTGAGCACAGGCACTCAACTTCTTTGGTCAACCATGCTGAGGCTTGTTCTGAGTGGGACCTGTCCTGTTAAACCACTGTATGGTCTTGGCCACCGTGCTGCAGCTCAGTTTCAGGGTTTTGGCAATCTTCTTATAGCCTAGGCCATATTTATGTAGAGCAACAATTCATGTTTTCAGATCCTCAGATAGTTCATTACCAGGAGATGCCATGTGGAACCTCCAGTGACCAGTCTGAGAGAGTGAGAGCGATAACACCTGCTACCCCTTCGCACCTGAGACTTGTGACACTAACAGGTCTCATGACACCAGGGAGGGAATGGGCCCGATTTGGACATTGTCACTTAGGGGTGTACTCATTTTTGTTGCCCACAATTTAGACATTAATGGCTGTGTGTTGTGTTATTTTGAGGGGACAGCACATTTACACCATTGTACAAGCTGTATACTCACTGCTTTAAATTGTAGCCAAGTGTCATTTCTTCAGTGTTGTCACATGAAAAGATATACTAAAATATTTATGAAATGTGAGGGGGTGTACCCACTTCTGTGATATACTGTATATCAAGGGCTCCATTTTCAAAAAGAATGAGAATTGGACAGGAAAGCAGCATTCTCTGAGTTGGAAGTCCGCTTGGATCAGCAGTAGCTGAAATCCTGTTGCTGAACATAATGTCACACTAGAGGTGACCCACTGAATCAGTGGGGATTTGATGAGCCAACTCTTCCGTAAGTTCCATTGATCCAAATAGGTCTACTCTGGTTGTGATTTACTTTATGAATCAATGGAAATTGCAGAAGAGTTGTCTCACCAAACTGCCTACTCTAGTGCAACTTGCTGTTCTAAGCCACAAGATGCCAATACAGTTTCATTGAGTGTATTGTTATACTGTGGAGTTTGACACCACAAGATGGACCAATGACCACCAACTTGGACAGCTTTAAAGAGGGATCAGACAAAAATGGAGGACAAGTCTCTCAATGGCAACTAGCCATTATGTGTATATCACACTGAAGATCAGAGGCAGTATGTGTCTCTATGCCAATTGTTGTCAGGGTGCTCTGATTCAGCCAGGTTCTTTTCATTAAAATATCTGAAAAAACTGAATTACAGAGAAATTCACAAAATTTGAGATGTCGATACTATGGCTAGATATGACAATCTGGAACGCCAACAGCCAGATGATGGTGCCTGCCAGAGATAAGCATCTGATAACTCTGGCCCACTGACACCACTGATGGACTATACACACACACACACACACACCAGGAACACTTTGGGTGAGATGACACTGACTTGTACTTTGGAAACAAACTCACATAAAACTACAGATACTGGGGTCATTAAGAGGCCTTGTTTAAGCCAGCAAGAATGACTGGGCACCAGTTCCATTTTCAGTGTTGAAAATAAAATAAATGACAAAGGAAGGCTGATTACACCACATTATATATGTCCAATCACCATCAACATATCACCATGAAAATATATATTGTGAATATAATTTACAACACAAGGATTGTGAATACAGCATAAAATGTGGAAGGAGACTAGGAAACCCCTTTGTCAACTTTGTGGCACCAAGCAAGCTCAAACAGGCACAGTTGACTCACTGGAGAAATTTCATTCACCCACTTTGAAACAAACGACTGCCATAAAGATAAACTAGAAATGTAACATTTTATAATTCACAGTACAGTAGCAATCAGAATTACATATTGTTTTAATTTAAAGCCTTCCTCTTAGCGATTCTGTTCTGCAACCTCAGCCTATCTGTTGGAGGCTTAAATGCCTATTTTAAGCTGTAAGTTATTGCTGAAGACATGAATCATGCCAAAACAATGACAAACTTGTTCAGTTGCAAAAGCCTATAGTTCAAAGTGGGTGATACATTTTATTGGAGCTGCATCTGAGATATGATGACCAAATGTTCAGGAAGGGGAAAGGTCCTTTTTTAAAAAAATCTGCAGTGAAATTTTCCCTTTCATTCACTGATTTAAAAGTTCCTGAAAAGTATATGAAATTATAGTCTAGTCAATGAAATCCAACTCTTGGAAATGCTGATGACATCCACTTGGATTCTAAATAGTCACCCTGTGGTTTATATGTACAATAAGGAATCTAGAATATTCAGGTAACTTCATTTGTTTTCTTCCTATACAATTGATAAACAATTACATCTTACTTCAGAAAAGAATATGGAAGCTTAAGCATACTCTTTGAATAAATTGTCTACTCTATCAATAAGAACAAACTTCTCTATTGAGATTTGTGCCTCTCATATTCCATTGGCTCTGTTTCAACTTTTCACTAAGGACTAGCTCCCAGGGATCTGCATTATGCAAGGATCCCTGCTTGTATTGTCCTAGTTCTTTAAAAATTGAGATCCAGGTTATACCTGATAGCACTGTGAAAGAAAGTAGCTCTATTTACTGAATAAATCTGTAACAGAACAGCACAAGGTGGAATATCCTTGGAATGAAAAGGATTTGGGTTACTGCTGATACACCTGAGACACAGTGTCTCATTTTTAACATTGGGGGATAATAAACCAGAGAACAACAGGTGAGATGAAATCCTCATCCTGCAACTTTAGCTTCATTTTTTTACATAAATAGACACCTGGTTGCCACTGGGGAACTAATGGCACACGGCCAAGCAATCTCCTGTTGCAAACCTGTGCATTTTTAAGGGGCTCAAGGGAAAGAGAAAAGACTTGAGGAAGGCTTGAAGGAGATTCAAATACCAGCATCGCTTTGATCAAAGCTGAACTTTGATTGCTAGCGACATGAACTATTAAATTAAAGGGAGGGGAGGACTACTGACATGATAAAGACAGAGAGACACTTCCCACTCTGGCTCCCAGTGCAAGAAACAGAGAGCTATAAATTTTACCAAAATCTGTATTACACAGCTTTTTGGGAAAGGGGGTGGGGAGATGGACTGATTCTTGGACTGTTCATATACACCTCTCCAGAACAAGAAACAAAGAGAGAATGGATGCAGAGAGAAGACTGCAGAAAGACACCTCATAGCAAACCTACCTACTGAGGGATAAGCCCATCACTCATCTTTACTATCTAGCCACATTTATGTCACTTTCAATGTCAATAAAATATCCTGGGATTGATTTTTTCCCTTTAGTGCATTTCATTCTGGTTGGAAACAACCGACTAATAGCCTTGATCAGATAAAGCTTGTCCCACACTGAAGGGAACCCACTTTGTCCCAGTAAATTTGGAAAGAGAGTCGGGGTGGTATACTAGATAGAGCATCGGACTAGAACTGGGAAGGGCTGGGTTCACATGCTTGCTTTTCCATGGAAAGTCATGCAGAGGAGGGGCCCAATGGTAAAATCATTCCATGAACCTGTCATACACCTCCAAACCCCACTAAGGTCTCCCCAAGGCAGAAGGGACTTGAAAGCACATAACAAGAGGATGCTTTAAAAGCTCTTAGCTGGGCACCAAAACCCAGGATTCTACACACATGTCTGTTTCAATGCACCCATATGCAATTCAGGAAAGTGTCAAGTGGAGCAGGAAACTTTTCTGCTCTAGAGAGGAAGCACTTAAGACGCAGCAGACAGACGATTACAAAAAAAAAATTGCTCCGAACTGCAGAGAGAGCACCGACGCCACGCGGGGATGGGGGCTTTAATTTTTCTCCGGCTTCTGACATTTGCTTAAAAAGCCCTAGGGCTTCGAGGCTGGCGGACCGAAGCCCTCCCACCCGGGCACTTTTGCGCACCGCCATCCCCTCCCCAAAACACACGCAAACACACACACCCCGCCAGGCACTGGGTTGCCGGCTCAGGCGAGGATCGCGAGTACTCACGCTGCTGTTGTGGCCTGACCAGTGCACCATGGCTTGGTTATGGGCCGAATCCCCCGTGAGGGCAAAGGTCGTGCTGGTCAGTTTCAGCTCCTCCGCGCGGAAGCGCGTGGCTTTGCCCGGCGGCTGCTCCGGGGATGCCCCTTCCCGGCTTTCCAGCGACGGCGGCGGCGGCAGGTCTCTTTCAGCCGGAGCCCCCCGAGGCTTCCGGCTCGGCTGCCTCCTCCGATCCGCCTGATCTGTTCCCAGCCGGGCGAGAGGCGCTGATCTGGCAGGACGGCGGGCCTCAGAGTTGACCCGCCAGCGCCCTTCGGCTGGTGGAGGAGTAGGAGCCAAGTTGGAGCGGGGAGGCCGGCGGGGATCCTCCGAGGGGGACCATCCGAGATCGATCTGGGCAGCCTCTGGGGACCGCCGGCTCACGTGCCCCCATCTCCTCGATCCCGAGCTGGCCTCTTGCTCCTCCGAAGCGGAGAGGATCGGGTCCCCACCTCCGTCCCCCTGCCCTGCCGCCCTCTCACCTTTCTCTGCCGCCGGTCTCCATCTGGCTTCCTCGCCTCCTCGTCCCGTCCTCAAGTGCATTAATAATCCGTGTTGAGGGGGATGCTCTGGCGGCGGCGGCGGCGGCAGCTGGTGCTCTTGCAGCTGCACCTGCCAGTGGCAGGATCTGCAAGTGATGTCTGCTCCGATAAAGCCAAAAGTAAGGATCAAAAGCCATGTCCGGGCAGCGAGCGGAGCAACGTGCCAGCCTGGGTACCAGCCAGTAACTTTTCCCATTGCCTCCTTGATGCTGATGAAACGACCGGCTGTGTGTGCGTGAGAGAGAGAGAGTGGCCGAGAGAAGGAGAGGAAAAGAGAACGAGCGAGCGAGGGAGCGCGACCGGGTAGCAGAAGGGGAGAGAAGCAGCAGCAAAAGAGGAGGAGGGGGGGGGTCGAGGCTGCAGGTTCGATTTGATTTGATTTTGATTTTTTTTTTTTAACCCCAAAGAAGAGGCAGCAAGAACTCCACAGAAGTTTCCCGACAGGGCCGGTTGGGAGGCAGGCGGCGAAGAAGGAAAGCAAGCCCCTTGCTTTCGGATTTCCACCCAAAGCTGGCGTCGCGGATCGGGCTTTTGATGGAAGGGAAAGCCACAACCACACGGGGGAGGAGCTGACTTAAAGGGAGCGAGAACGCGCCGGCTTCCCTTACTTGCTGGCTGGCGCAGGAGTCACCCCAGCGCCGCCGCCGCCGCCGCCGCCGCCGCTCCCTTCCTCCCTCGCGCTCCCCCTCCCGCCTTCCCTCCCCTCCCTTCGCCCACCGCCCCCCCTCCGCGGGGCTTCACTCGCCGGTCTGTGGAGAGCGCGGGCGAAGCGTTCACTTGCAGCCGCCGCTCCATCCGCGTCAACTTTTTTCCCCCCTCTCCCTCCGCGTCTTAGGGCCGGGCTTTCCCCCCCCTCTTCGTCCCGAGCCGGCGAAGGATCTCCACGTGCGCCAAAGCGTAGGAAAAAAAAAACCGCTGCTCGATTTATTAAAAAGGATTAAAAAAACCTATGGCAGGTTGCGCGGGAACTTTCATTCGAGGCGCGCGTTGGTGTTGCGCGGCGAATAACGCGGGAAGAAAGAAAATATTGGACGAGGAAGGCTGTGCTTCTCCGTTTATTTACTGTTCCGATTGCGTGTGAACCCCACTTCGGTGCGCATCTGTTTAAGCTCGTTGACGCTCCTTTCCCATCAAGGTGGCAGAGGCTGTGTTTTTAAACCAACCTACAAATAAGGATGTCATGCACAAAACCAATTCGGCTCTCTATTTCATATTGACTAGGTCCCTCCCCTTTCCTTGTGAAAATTCGTCGTAGCTACACCGTTTTCTCTCCTTTACTGAAAACCTGGGTGTTCTGTAGAGCCCATTCTCATGGGATTTTGTAGAACTTTCCAACGTAACAATTGCATGCATTTACTGTTTTATTTATCTATCTACTTAAAATAGTTTTACCTCACCTTTCTTCTTAAAAGGACCCAAGGTGGCTTACATCGCTAAAAAGAGAATAGTTCAAAGCTAAAAACAGTAAGTATACAAATATTTTTAAAGTCCGGCTGCTGAGGGACTAGTTTGCATTCTCTCCTTTTGGGGGCACAAAGCCATTGATTGATCATGCACATGACTGAACCTGACCTTGTCCTAACCAATGTGAGAGGGCAATCTCCGTTCAAACTCTTAATTCATTAGAGTACACCAGAGTTACCATTTTACAGAAGCATCCAGGTGGAAGCCTCTAGATACTGTTGCAGTGCTCTAGTGCAATACTGTACTTGCTTTGCAGGTCAGATGCAAATCTTGACTGGGGGCATCTTTGTGCAGGAAAAAAAGCTTATAGAATTGGGGAGAATGAGAAGGCTCTGCTGTGAGATTCTGAGAAAAATGTTTTCTCAATTTCTGAGAAATATGCAACTCTCCAAGAGTTTCACATATTACCAAAAAAACAAAGACTTGTGAAAAGGTGATATGGGGTGGGTGGGTTTAATTGCACAGGGAAAGTTTGCAGTCTGCTTAAAAGGTGGCTCTTGCAGTTTGGTAGAAGCAGAGATTCATATTTTTTTTAACTGGAAAAGGGAAACCACAAAGCTAGCCTTGGAGGTCTACATACAGCCTTAGGGTTGCTCTGACCCCTTCCCCTTGGTGCATTGGATAGCATACTACAGTCCTATGGATATGATCCTGTCAACATGTCCCATAAAACTATTTACTTTTGAGTAAACATGGCTAAGTTTGTGTAGCAAGAGTGCTAAGGACTGCAATCTAGCTTTATATTTCCCTGTCCGTAAACTGTCTTCTCTTGTTCGTTGAGGTAAGTGACTGTTGATTCAGAGGCATGGCCTTCAAGGAGCACCTTTGTCCATTTAAGCTTGGGGAGCCAATTGCCAGAGCTGCTTGCATTACCCTGTGACTTAAGTAGTAGCTGTCACGAGGAATTGAGATAAATAAATCACTCAAATATTGCCAAGATCTGCTTGGATTAAAACTGTCAAGAATGGAAATACGATTTGGGAACTACAAAGGCAGCAAGAGGAATTCAGAGCAATTCCTATTTTCTGAGGTGTATGCCCTCTGGCTCTAAATAGCCAATAATTTATAGCAAGGGGCAAGGCATAGTTCCTCCTTGACCATTTTATGTTATTCTTCCCAGTGCTTTTCATTCCCAATAGCCAAATATTCTACAATGAATTAAACATTTAAAGGTCTTTTGGGAGAGGCTTTTTCTTCCCTCATATTCAGATCTAAGAATGCAAATTTAATGTTTGAAACCATCGTTAGTGACACTGCTGCCTTTGTTTTGTTTTGTGTGTTTATTTTACATCCCTTGCTCTTTGTTGCATATGTGGATAAAGTCCTAATATTTGGAGTTGTATAATTGGTTAAATGAAGACTTCAAACCGTTACTGCAGAATCAGAGGATGCGTCCAGTGTGCCGTTTACACCTGAGGATGGGGACAGGGTGCTTGGATCTGTCTGTTCTACCATCACTCCGCTCAACCCTTGCCCATCCTGGCTAATTGGAAGATCAGCCAGGGGGGTTCGCACCTGGGTCCAGGAGGCCATGAATGCCTCTTTGAGAGAGGGAGTAGTCCCTAGCACCTTGAAAGAGGCGGTAATTCATCTGCTCCTTAAAAAGTCTAACCTGGACCCAAGGCTGGTGGTTAACTACCGACCAGTGGCGAACCTCCCTTATTTGGGCAAAGTATTGGAGTGGGTTGTGGCTGGGCAACTCCAGGTGCTGCTGGACGAAACGGATTTTCTGGATATATTTCAATTGGGTTTCAGGCTGGGCTTTGGTACGAAGACTGCCTTGGTCACCCTGTACAATGACCTTTGCTGGGAGAGAGATGGGGAGTGTGACCCTGTTGATACTCCTGGACCTCTCAGCAGCTTTTGACCCCATCGACCATGGTGTCCTTCTGGATAGGCTGGCTGGGTTGGGAGTTGGGGGCACCGCTTTACGATGGTTCCACTCCTTCCTGGCTGACTGTGTCCAGAGGGTGGTGCTAGGGGACAGTTGCTCTGCCCCATGGCAGTTATGTCATGGGGTTTCTCAGGGCTTGATACTGTTCTCCATGCTGTTCAACATCTACATGAAACCGCTGGGAGATGTCATCAGGAGGTTTGGGCTGAGGAGTCAGCGATATGCTGACGATACTCAGCTCTACCTCTCGTTTTCCACCAATCCATGTGAGGCGGTTTCTGTGCTGAACTCATGTCTGGACCTGATAATGGACTGGATGAGGGTTAATAAATTGAAACTCAATCCAGACAAGACGGAAGGGCTGTTAGTGGGTGCTTCACCGGACAGGCTAGAGGGCCATTTCCCTGCCCTGAATGGGGTTACACTCCCCCTAAGGGACAGGGTCTGCAGATTGGGGGTGCTCCTGGACCCCAGTCTAACACTGAAAGCCCAGGTGGACTCGGCGGCCAGAGGCGCCTTCCTTCAGCTGCGGAAATTATATCAGCTGCGGCCCTACCTGGATGAGCGGAGTCTCATGACAGTTACACACGCACTGGTAACATCTTGCATAGATTACTGCAATGCGCTCTACATGGGCCTGCCTTTGAAGACGGTCCGGCGACTGCAGCTGGTCCAGAATCGAGCTGCGCAGCTGGTGAGTGGTGCTGCGGCCAGGGAACACATCAAGCCGATTCTGTATAAGTTACATTGGCTACCAGTTGCTGCCTGGGCCCAATTTAAAGTGCTTGTATTGACATATAAAGCCCTAAATGGCTTGGGCCCTGGATAACTGAAGGACCGCCTCCTTCCATATGAACCTACCCGGCAGTTAAGATCTAGCCAGGGGGCCCTTTTGAAAGAGCCGTCCCTTAAGGAGATAAGAGGGAGGGCTTGTAGAGAAAGGTCCTTTTCGGCAGCTGCCCCCAGACTATGGAATGCCCTCGCGACTGAGATTCGTCTGGCGCCGACGCTGATGACATTTCGGCACCAGGTCAAAATTGAAATAATAGCTGTGGGTCCTGATGGAAATTTTTACATTATATATTTTAATTGCATTTTAATTGTTTTGTCTTTTTATTGTATTTTAAATGTTGTAAGCTGCCCAGAAACCTTTGAGTAGTGTGGGCAGCATATAAGTTAAATAAATAAATAAAATAAACAAGTGATATGAAAGGTTGTTTCTAGTATTACGGATTACATGAGAGGGGGGCAGACTGCAGGCATATGAGAGGTACTTTACCTTTTCTTTGCATTCCCAAAATCCATCAAGTGCTGAGTGCAAATAAATAAATAAATAAATTAAAAAGCATGTCTCAAAAGTATTTAATTCATTTTGAGGCCAACTCTAAATGGATCTTGTGCCTTTCAAAACACAAAAGCTCATTCCCCCAAGCTTTCCTCATTTGTGTAGCATAATTTTGGCTAGCAGAGAAGTCACTTTGTTTCTCCTACTTTTATGCAATGGGGGACTCAGAAACCTTACAGCAAATCATCCGGAGAGGTACACGTTGATCTTGACCGTCTACATGAATTATACACAACTTCTTACAAAGCAACTATCTGAATGTATGGACACGCATTATATACCTGCGGCAGGGTACTTTGCCATTGCAATCTTTTCCTCCTTGTAAACTTCCCACATGTCTGGCAACTGTAGCAATGAAATGCTGGACTAGAGTGACAGAGTGGTGAAACAGAGAAAAGCTCTTATTAATGTTCTTGTCCATATCAAATTAAAGCTCCCTGCCGGGCATTCATTGTCTGATCTACACATGCAGCAGGGACTAGCAGGCAGCATGCTGCAGTGATTGAATGGACTACACCATTTGAAACTGTAGGTGGCAAATCCTTTTCCCTTTTTAAAATTCCTCTAGAGCATTCACACCACAAATATGTGTAACTGAACAGCTAGGGTCTCAGCTACACTCTTGCACCCCCTGTGTACTAGTTGTCTGTTTTCAGGATCTTTCTCTGGAGAAAGGCATTCATATTGTACTCTAAGAGAGATAGATCTTTCGTCTACTATGCGCTCCTATATATGCAGGTCTACTGTGGGGCATTAGCTGCATGAAGTTGTTCCTAACGTGTTTCGGTGTACATGCTTAATCCACAACTTGTGAAATGTCTCTACGGTTATTTAAGTGCATGAAAAGCCTTTCGAGATTTTTTTAAAACTACCCTTGCTGTTCCTGTAATAAAGGAACATTATAAATGG